AAAATAAAAAATGCTGGCGTGGATGTGGAGAGATTGGAACACTCTAACACTGCTGGTGGGACTGCAAGTTAGTACAACCGCTGTGGAAAGTAATTTGGAGATACCTCAAAGAGTTAAAAATAGAAATACCATTTGATCCAGCAATCCCACTCGTAGACATCTACCCAAAGGAAAAAAAAAGACATTCTATAATAAAGACATCTGCGCTTAACTGTTTATAGCAGCACAATTCACAATTGCAAAGATGTGGAGAACAACCCTAGTGCCCATCAATACATGAGTGGATTAATAAAATGTGGTATACGTATACCATGGAGTACTACTCAACTACAAAAAACGATGGTGAACTAGCACCTGTTATATTATCCTGGATAGAGATTGGGCCCATCCTTTGAAGTGAGGTATCACAAGGATGGAAAAACATGCATCACATGTACTCACCATCAAACTGGTACTAACTGATCAACACTAAGGTGCTCACATGGTAGTAATACTCACTGGGTGTCGGGCAGGAAGGGGGGTTGGGGGGTTGGGGGCTAGAGTGGGTGGGGTGATTAAACCCACAGCTAATGGAGACGGGGAGCACTGTATGGAGGAAGGACATGCTTGGCCCTGGCTTGAGCGAGGCAAATGCATTTCATGTAACCATGTCTCACTCTTGCTCAGGCTGGTCCCTGAACTCCCGAGCGCAAACAATCCTCCTACCTCGGCCTCGCAGAGTGCTAGGATTACAGGCGTGAGCCACCACGCCCGGCCAAACCCAGTACTCTAGTACTGTATTTGTGGTATGCAATCCACCCATAACTCCAGTACAAAGCTCAAAAGAGAAATCTATCAAAACCAATAATAGCTACAGCACCCTGTTAAGAGATAGGTAACTTAAAAATATGTAAATTGAGACAACTAAGAGTCAAAATGTGGGGGGGATGGAGTTAAAATGTAGAATTTTGTGTGTGTTTTTGCCTTTCTTTCTATTCTTTTATTTGTGTTCTAAGATAAGTTGTCACCTCTTTAAAATAATGTGTTATATCTATAAAATATTTTTTGTAAGCCTCATGGAAACCACAGCACAAAAACCTGTAATAGATTCACTAAAATAAAAAGCAACAAATTGAAACATACTACCAGAGATATGCACTTCATCTACTATCAATTGGCTCTAAATAAAGGAGATTATCCTCAATAACGTGGGTAGGCCTCGTCCAATCAGTTGAAAGTTTTTAAGAGCAAAACTGAAGTTTTTCTGAGGAAGAAGAAATTCCAGCTGTGGATTTCAGCTCCTGCTTGAGCTTGCCCTGCAGATTTCGCACTTGCCTGGCCAGCCCCTGCAGTCGCAAAGCCAATTCCTTGCAATCAACCAGTCAGTCGTCTGCTGGTTGTGTTTCTCTGTAGAACCCTGCCCAGTGCAGATGCCATCGTATGCTTTGTAAACTCTGCTGCCGTACAGCACTGTTTTGCAGACGAGGACACTGAAGTCCAGTAAGGAAGGTAACAACTTGCCCGAAGCCGGTGACAGCGCTGAGATGTGCATTCAGGCTTCCTGCTCTGTGTCCCCTGCTCTCAGTGTTCTCTCCTCGATGGTCTTTAGGCTGGCCTTCCCCAGACAGGAAACTTTACTGTTCTTCCAGATCTTCACTACACAGTGCACTAACTTCCTGTAGCATTCATTTAAAAGTCTTCCGCACGAGTGCAGACACCTCCCTGTCAATGTCAGAGGCCTCCTGAGCTCCAGCAACAGAGGTGGCCAACTCTACTACACCAACCCAATTGCAGACACTCGGTGGGTCCTCACCCAGTGACTTAAAAATTAGGAAATGACTCCCTGCGCATTTACCACTCGTGTCCTCGCTCTTCCTTCTCTGCTGCCACCCCCAACCGCAGGCGGATGGGAAGACGCCGGCCCCAAGGAAAAGTGAGTGCTATGAACTGTCTTCCGTGCCTGAGGATCTTCTCGCTCTGCCCCGCCACCTCCAGTCTATGCTTTCTTACTGTCGGCTACCGAACAGCAGCCAAGCGTTATACAGCCATCAACACCTCCTCACCTCCCCCACTACCATGCTTGACTAGAAAAATAATAATCATCTCTCTCCTCACCTCAGTAAAGCTCACCTGTCTGTCCTTCTCTCGGCAACTCACTTCCTTGCTGGCTAAATACTATGATCATCTGTATGGTCTGGAATATTACAGGCAATGATAAATTGACTAGATACTCTTCCCAGATGATATTTACATAATAAAAGATGTTTCCTTGTCTTATCCCAAATGAAACACACGTTGGCAAAAAAATGAAAAATATAAGTACGTTGGAGTAGGTGAGGACCAGGAGGTAGACACTTGGGGGCTCCATCATGACCGGCTTGCAAACCCTATCACAGGGGCCGTGACCTGCTCCATCCACGGGGGACGTTAAACCAGTGTTTTCTCATCGGTCAGGTGAGCAGACCGCAGTAAATGCCTCCTAAAGCCCTTGTGACAAAGCGCTCCATGACTAACTGCCGCAGTGACTAATGAAGGGGCCCTTGCCGGACCTGGTAGGGTCATTGGAGGCCACAGTAGCCTCAAGTTCTAACAGAATGGGAAATGGCCACTTTTTACAACTTACCAAAATACCATCTTGCAGAGATGCTAATATATTAATATCTTAATGGCCTCTAATGGGATTGCAAAGGGACTGGGGAGCCAGGAACAATCCCAGCTTGGGGGCATATAGGGACATTGTGCCTGGGCCACTCACACACCAATTAGCAGCCCAGAGCTCTGGCCAAGCAACCTGAGTGGGATAACGTGGCCTCCCAGGACACCATGTAGCCGGAGAAGCATTGTTTCCAGTTGTTGCCAGAGACCCAAAAAATGGAATAGTACAGAAATATTGGGCAGTGTTAACCACATGTTAGAGGACATTTTGCCATAGGAAGAGCCAAGGACTCAACGGTGCCATGTTTGGAGTGGGGTGGGTGTGCATGGGCTCAGCTGACGGAACAGTGGTGGGGGCAGCTGAGCCACTGCGAGGCTCCAAGTGGAACCTCAGACTCCCCCCGCCAAGGCCTTGAGGAGGGCGTCTCAGTCAATGCAGTGTGACGCTGCTGTTTGGAGAACCGCTCAGCACCAGGTCTGGAAACCTCACTCCCGTGGTTATTAGCACATCCAGCCGTGGGTAGGAAAGAAGAAGGAAACTAATGGAACAGTGATTTTGCTCGTTGGTTACAGCAGTGACTTTGGCTGGGGCAGCGGCGGCAACTCAGAAATGAGGTTCCTGGGGCATTTATCATTCAGTTTCTCTATTCTAGGCGAGTAGCTTCCAAACCTGGCTCCTTGACCATTGCTTGGAGTACTCGTTTGAAAAGCAGATTCCTGGACTCCAGCCCCAACGATTCTGATCCAACAGGTATGGGGTGTGCCCAGGAATCTGTATTTCCGCCAGGTGCTCCAGGTGATCCCAGAGCAGGGGATCCAAGGACCCGTGTTCGGGAATAATGCCTCTGGCACCCCGTCTCCATATTATCATCCTCAATCACTGAGAATCGGTTGAGCCTTAGATGAGGAACCCAGGCAACACCAAGGTTGTTCCTGGGCTCCCTCCTGACACACCGTGTGTCATGGGGACGTGTCTCTGAGCTCTGCCTCCCAGCCGCTCGCACCACCCTTGCAGCACACACACACTTCACACCAGTTCAACTCAGGAAACGTTTATTGGGTGCCTATGACAGGCAAGGCACAGTACCAGGTGCTGTGGGGTACAAAGACAAGAAGGCTAGGCCCCGCCCTCAAGAGGCTTACAGTCTAGTTGGGAGAGGGACACACTCACAGGTAACAAAAATACAAGGCGGAAGGTGGGCTCTATGGCAGAGGCGAAAACAGTGGGAGAGCAGGGCGTAGGGAAAGATCAGATATACCTCGGCCGATCAGACGCTGAATGCAGGGCGTGACGTCTCAGCCGGTCCTTGGGAGGGGAGGATTCGCACAGTGGAACCGGACAGAGAAGGACACTTCAGGAGCAGGCAGGCGTAGAGGTGGGAAAGTGCAAAGGATGTTCAGAGAACAGAGACGTCTGCCACGACCAAAACATGGGATGTCACAGGGATAGCAGAGGGAGCTAAAGCCGGGGAAGCGGTTTGAGGGCAGATGGTGGAGAGTCTCCTTATAGTAAGGAGAGGTGACTTCATTCTATAGGCAATGATGAGCCATTGAAGGTTCCTGAGCAAGGGAGTGACATGACCTCATTTCCTCAATTGCGTGAGTTGATACATACAGTAATATGTGATTAGCTTTATCCTTTTGTTAACCTTACTCTAAGGACTCATGCCCTCTCTTGATCTCAAAGCAGAAACCAACGTGGGCCCTGTGGCCACATATACAGTTGATCCTTGAACAACACTGGTTTGAACTGTGTGGGTCCACTTATATGCAGATTTTCAACCAAACACCATTGAAAATACAGTATTTGTGATGCAAAACCCACGTATGTGGAGGGCCAACTTTTCACACACACAGTTCCACGGGGCCAACCGTGGGGCCTGCATGAGCGGATTTGGGTACGTGCAGGGGTCTTTCCTGGAACGAAAGCCCCGTGTATACTCAGGGACGACTGTACTTTGCACGGCTGCACAAAGGAAGCAGTGGCCTTAGCTAGGTAAACCTTGAGCTCACTTAACAGCTTTCTGCCACCTTCGCGGAAAAGGAAGTGAAGCTTTCCAGAACCATCGGAGAGGAAGGGGCAGGGCACAAGGAAGGTACTCGTGAACTTCTGTCATCTAAGCAGGACAAGGATAAGCTGCAGAGAAAATGGTAGTGCAAAAGAGACGGCTGAGAGACGCAAGGGATGTAATTAGCATCATCCAAACTAAACCATGTCCCAGTAGGGCTTGTGGTATAACCCACCCACCGCCCGGACCCCCAGGAGGGGAGACCCTGCCGTCTGACCCGCTGGAATCAGTAGATGGGGTTTCTAAGCGCTCTACACATAGAAGGGCCTCGGCTGACAGAGGATCCCAGGATCCCGCCTAACTGTCCAAGGAGGAAGGAGAATGGCGCCCACCCCCACCTGGGCCGCCCCAGCCCGAGAGGGGATGCGAGGCCACTGCTGTCCAGGTGGACACAGCGATGCTGGTCAGCGAGGGCTCCCCCAGAACCTCCATGCCAGCCGAAGCGGGTGCTTGGGTGGAGAGCACAGAGGGGGGCGAGGCCACAGCTGGGTTTCCGAGGAGGAACGCTCCTGGGGTGCTGGCGTGCACCTCTGCGCCGGGCCCGGCGGGGGCCCCGCCACCGTTGCTGATGGTCACCAGGCACGGATAGGGGCTGCGGAGACAGAGAGAGAGGAGGGGACTGTTCGACGGCACTCTGAGGAAGAAGTGCCACCTGACGAGCACACAAGCAGCGCCGAGGAGGGCGCAGGTCGGAAGAGGGAGCCTGGCCGCGGCGCGACCTCCGGCTCCGGCACGGACAGGCCCCATTTCTGCAGAAGAGCCGAGAGAGGCAGCGAGGTATCGCGGAATGCGGACAAAATGAGGTGTCCTGAGACCCGGATTCTGGTGCTGGCCCTGCCACCAGCAACGTACTCAGTGGACACAGCGTTTCATTTCTCAGGTCTCCCTCACAGCCTGTGTACGATGGGGCAGCAGCAAAAGGCAGGTACTGCGTGTGCCCCTCGCTGGCCCGGGGGGCCACGTGGCACCGTAAGCCCCATGGGACGCTGTCAGAAGACCCGGGTTGGAATCCCAGCTCTACCACTGCTCAGTTCTGTGACCTTGGCCAAATTATTTCATAGCTCTGAGTGTCAATTTTCTCATCTTCAAGATTTGGAGTGATAATTTTACATACCTTACAGAGATTGTTATGAGGATTAAATGAGTATATGATGCCTAGCACATCACACTCAGTAAATGGGGGTTGTTATATGAAGTCCTCCGTTCCTGGTCTCCACCTGTCAGCTCTGCTCCCTGGCAGAAGGGCTGGGGACTTGGACCACTTTCCTTGCTTTCTCTAGTTCTATAGCACTGGGTCACAAACTCCGCTGCACACTGGAATCACTTAGTGAGTTTTAAAAATTAATACCGATGCCTGGGTCCCACCCCCCAGAGATTCTGATTCTACTGGCCTGGCATGCAGTCTGGCCATCAGGATTTTTAAAAGCTTCCCAGTCGATCGTAATGCGCAGCAAAGCTTGTGTGTTCATGTAGAACTCAATGCATAGGATGGCGGCTGGAACAGGTGCAACAACCACCAAGGTTTTCAGCCCTTAATTGTCACACGTTCTGACATTTTAGAGTCTCTGCATTGCCTGACACTGTGCTGCTTGATAACACTGCATTGCACTGATACATTATCAATGACAGTACTGAATGTGTTTTTCTAACAAAGTCTTTACAGGGGAAAAAAAAAAACAGAAAAGAAAAAAAGGGGGGGAAAAACCTTTACACAGTCAGTAATGGGTTAAATAAGCCAACAAGGAAACCAGAGGTGGCGATGCCACCCTCCATCCTGTGCCATATGTCAGATGCTATAGACCTCCTTGGACCATAGGAGACCTGCAGAGGCCCATCCTCTGAGCTCCCAGAGCCGTTCAGCGTGCTGGGATTCTGGCCCTGCTGTCCAGAAGAGGCTTTTCAGCGTTATCTCTTAGAGACCCTTTCTGATGCCTCCTGGGCTGGCGGGGAAACCACAGACTCTGAGTTACACTGCTTACTGTGTGACCTTCGGGAAGTTTCTAACGCCTCTGAGCTTTAGGTTCTTCATCAATAAAAGAGGAATTTTAATACCTTGCAGATGTTGAGTACTACAGATGACTCACGTAAAGTATCTGGTACAGAACCTGGCACAGGGTTATCTAATATCTTCAAGGACCCTCATCTTCATTCTCTTCTCTCACTTCCTATCACAGCCCAAATCAATGCTTTTCCCTTGGCTCCTCCAGACCAGCACCGTCCAACAGAAATAAAATGCCAGCCACAAATGCCAGCCACATGTGCAAGTTTAAATTTTCTAGCAGCCACATTTAGAAAAAGAAAAAGAAAATAATGAACTTATTATTAGTATTTTATGTAACCAAAAATATTTAAAATATTATCATTTCAACATGCATTTGATATAAAAAATATTACTGAGATTTTTATTCTTTGTTTCATACAAGTCTTCAAAATCCTGTGTGTGCCTCACACTCATAGCACATCTCAGCTTGGACTAGCTGCATTTCAAGTATTCGAGAGCCGCGGGTGGCCCGTGGCGGCTGTACTGGAGAGCACAGCGCTAGAGCCTTATGGGCCGTACGCCATCAGCAGCACCTGGGAGCCCGTTAGAAATGCAGAATCTCAGGCCCCCGCCCAGACCTGCTAATCAGATTCTGCATTTCAACAACATCCCCAGGTGATTCCAACACATTACAGTACGAGAAGCACCGCTGTAGACTAAAGGCCACCACATTCTCCTAACTTTCTCTAGACCCACAAATCACAAGTCATCTGAAGTCTTCCCAGGTCCCATCTTTTAATTTGGAATCCCTTGTGGACCTTCTCAAAATTCTGCATATCCATATGAACGTAACAGCTGACATTTACAAAGCATGTTACTGCATTTTCTTATTTTGATGTTCACCATAACCCTACAGAGTACCTCATACTATTTCCATGTTATAGATAAGAAAGTTGAAACTCGGCAAGCCTAAGAAAATTGCCCGAAGTCACAAAGTCCATATAGGAGGTAGAACTGGGACTCAAACCCATGTCTGTCTGACTGCAAGGTGCCTTCTCTTTACCTGCCACCATGCAGATTTTCAGATTTGGAATGTGGATTATACCACAGGTCCTATGTGCCACACTTAGCCCTCTTACTGGGGCTGTGGGCCAGGCACCCACAGCCTGTCCCCCTTTTAGGACAGGTGGCTTATAAGAATACATAAAGCCAAGGGTCTTGATTTCTCAGTGTCTATTTACACTTTTCCTCTTCAGTTCCCCGATAGACAGTATTTATTTGCTACCACCACAGTTTAAAGTATTTCTGATGGAGTTCAAGACAAATTATCTCGGGTCATCGTGTCTTTTCCCTTTAAGACATAAAATGCCAAGGCCACAAAAGAAAGAATACACGACTGAGCAGGTGCTTTCCCACCACCTCTTCTCCAGTTAGGAAAGGAGAACTCCGTCCTGTTGTCGCCTTCACTCGCTAGTGGCTTAGAAATCAGGACAAAGGCTCAGACCAAGCCACCCTGGGAAAAAGGATGAACTTGAGTCCCCAGTGCCAAGAAAACCCCAAGACCAGCAATGAGGATGCTGCAGTGCTGAGCTTACCCGGGCCCTGGGTTGGCCGGTCCGCTGGCGTGGGGCACGGACAGGATGCCGGCGTGTGGAGTGGAGGGTAGGGAAGTCCAGCTGTCGGGTCCCGAGAAAACTTGCAGATTATTGCTCGAGCTTTCTATCAAATTCACTTTGGGGAAATAACAACAGTTGAATTGATGGCGCATGTAGAACACATAAAGATGGTGATCAATGACATTACCCCAAGGCAAAACATAACCATGGCTTGCACTACAGGCACCAACAGTTTGTTGAGAAACAGAAAAGAGGAAGGAACTTAGGTGTATCGAATGGCAACCGTATGCCAGGTATGGTTCACAGTTTAATCTTCACAACAACTTGCCATCTCCATTTTATAGACAAGATTCAGAGATACCTCTCGTCTATAAAATAGACCTCTCATCTGTAAAATGATTTGCCCTTTGTGACACAGACCTGTCTGACTCATTTCGCCACAGTCGCTACCCTTTAAGCAGGGGCCGTAGCAGCCTCCCCTCAAGACAAGCCTCGTGGCTCCAGCGTGCCAGATGAGATTTCGGAGGTCCAGGACCTTATTCTTCTCAGCAGTCCCCAAGTAGATTTAAACATCTCAAGAATAGTGTCTTCTCACAGAAAGAAAAAGACTATGAGATCTTACTTGTGTGTGGAACCTAAGAAAGTTCATACACAGAAGCAGAGCAGCACGGTGGTTACCAGGGGTGGGGAGGTAGGGAAACGAGGAGATGCTGGTCGAGGTTTACAAAGTTGCAGTTACGTAGGATGAACAAGTCTAGAGAAGGAATCTACAGTGTGACGACTATGGTCAATAATACTGTATGGGATACTGGACATTTGCAAAGAGAGTGGATTTCAGGTGCTCTCACCATTAAAAAAAAAAAGGTAACTATGTAAGAAGATGGATATGTTAATTTGTTTGACTGTAGTAATCATTTCACTATGTGTATATTGAAACATCATGTTGTACACTTTAAATATATATCATTTTTCTGGGGGAAAAAAAGAATAATGTCTTTTATTTCTTTGAATCCCTATTTGCAGAAATAGTATATGTAGGAGAAGGAAAGATGGAAAAGAGGAAGAGAGGAAGGAAGGGGAAAGGGGGAAAGGAGAAAGTGCAGGAAGATGCCAGTGTGGATTCCTGGTGCTATAGCGTGAGTGTGTCCCCAGTTCATGTGCTGGAAACTTAGTCCCCAGTGCAACAGTGGTGAGAGGTGGGACCTGTAAGAGATGATTAGGCCATGAGGGCTCTGCCGTCGTGAAGAAATTAACGCCAGTGTAGTGGGAGTGGGCTCCTTATGAAAGGATGAGTTCGGGCCCCTTCCCGCCCTCTCTCACGCATAGAGCCCTCCTGCCATATTATGATGCAGCAAAAAGACCCTCACAAGATCCAGCACCTTGATCTTGGACTCCCCAGCCTCCAGAACTGTGAGGCAATACACTTCTGTTGTTTATAAAGTCCTTAGGCGTTTTGCTCTAGCACTACACCTGGGACTAGAGTGGACTAAGACACCTGGCCGTGCTGCTCTTTCCATGATCCGGCACTTGCGACCTCTTCAGCCTTAGCCCTTGCCTCTTCCATCCGCCCCCTCCCTCCACACTCCACTCCGAATCTGCCTCTGGACAACCCGGGCTCTTCCGTCCTTCGGTGTCTTTGCTCGCACTGCTCTCCTGGACCACCCTGCTCCTCTGCTGTGTCACATGTCACGTCATCTGTCTTGCACCCCTGCCCACTCCCAGCCTGTCCTTTTCCATTCATTCCGCAAGGCTCAATTTAAATGTCAGCTCTTCTGGGCATGGGCATATCAGATGCTCTTTGTCCTTCATTCCCGTGGCACCTCGGCTTGTGTGTCTTATAAACTTTCTCAGACTTGAGTGTGCATGTGAATCTCCTGGGGATGTTAAAGTGCAGACTCTGATTCAGGAGTACGACCTGAGAGTCTGTTTTTCTAACAAGTTTCCAGGTGATGCCGCAGGTCCAAGGACCACATCAGAGCTCACGACGTTGTATTATGATTCATTCTTTATGTATTTGTGTAGCCCTCGGCTCCTCCAGGGAAGAAACCGTGTCTTAATCACCTTCCTGCCCTCACTGCCTATAAAACCTGGGGCATCGCAGGTGCTCAGACGACACGATCTGAGTGCCGACTACAGGAAAGGACCAGGAAGTCGAGTGAGACACTGCTCAGATCTGATATTGTTAACCTACATCTTCTCCACTCCTGGCAGCAGCTGTCGAGGTTGCTGGCAGTAGCAGGCTAAGAAACATAGTGACAGTAGCTGGTGACCAGGAAAGCCCTCTACCAATGCAGAGCTCAGGGTATCCCTGAAGAAGGAAGGAGGCTGGAACCTAAACACTCTTGACCATCTCCCATGCCATGAACTTTACTTGTTTTAGTGTCAATCTCTTCATATTGGTATAGAATCTCCATAAAGGTAGGGCATTTGTCCATATTTTATGTGCCCAAAAAAAAGCCTGGAATATAGTTGGTCTTCAATAAATATTTGTTGCATGAATACTTTTTTTTGTTTTGTTTTGTTTTTTGAGACAGAGTCTCACTCTGTTGCCCGGGTTAGAGTGCTGTGGCATCATCATAGCTCACTGCAACCTCAAACTCCTGGGCTCAAGTGATCCTCTTGCCTCAGCCTCCCAAGTGGCTGGGACTACAGGTGTGCACCACCACACCCAGCTAATTTTTTTTATTTTTAATAGTGACACAGTCTCGCTCTTGCTCACGCTGGTCTCAAACTCCTGACTTCAAGCAATCCTCCCACCTCAGCCTCCCAGAGTACTAGGATTACAGGCATGAGCCACTGTGTCCAGCCTGCATGAATAATTTAATGAAAAAAATAACTTTTGTTTTCATTTATCCTTTCTTTCTACAAATCTAACAGCTAGGCAAGGTCTAGGAAGCTTCCACAAGGCTAAGGTAGACAAGGCAGCAGTCCATGAGAAAAAAAGCACATAGACAATAGCGTCAACTTAAATAAACAATCAGACTGCAAAAATTATTAAGGGTGGGTTTGCATGCCTCCAACTGAATCAG